GCTAACCCTGTTTATCACTACAAAAGATTTATCACTAACCCTGTTTCCGTTAACATATTGTAAGTTTGTAACTAGAGTTATTGTATAGAGAAAAAGGCTGAGTCAAATAAGAATGTGAGAAAGCGAATTAAGGAAAACTGCACCTTGTCTAGTGATGCATCGGCTGCATTAACTACATCTTTGTCAACACGTGAGAGACATGTATCTAAGAGCATGATTATAGGTGGGTAATAAGAGTAAATATAGGAGTTTTTAAAATAAAAAATTATTAAAATTTGAGTAAAAGGATGAAAGAGAGTGTTTTTGTGGGGTGTATTGAAATATAAAATTAATAAAATTTGAGTAAAGAGAGGAGATAGTGGATATTTTTTGGAGAGAGGGTATGTATAGGTTGTATGGGAAGAAACTTTTCGAGAGAGGTTTTAGGAGTGTTTAAATATAAAATTAATAAAAATTGAGTAAAAGGATGAAAGAGAAAGTATAAAGTTGAGTAAAAAGAAGAGAGAATGTGTGTTTTAATAATTTTATATTTAAGAACTTGCTATATTTACTATGGATAATCATGCCCTTAGGATAACTCTTAAACCTTTTTCGTCTCCAATAACTTTTTATAAAAGCGTGATCACCAAGGCAACGAATCATATTTCTGCATATCTATAGTACGATAGATTCCCTCTTAATTATGTATGTACACATATCTTCCATAATTAATATTTGGTAAATATACTTTTCTAGTTTATGTAAATCTTAGAAGACCAAGTCGGTCACATATATACATACTTTTCTTATAATTAGATCTCTTCACCAACCTCTATGCATAAGAGAACCTATTCTTACGCCTAGGGTTTTACTCACAGTCACCAAAAAAACAACGACCTTAATTTCTTAATCTCTATTTTTCTATAACCATGTCTTCTCCTTTGGTTGGTCCACCGGAGCTCCGAGAGCCTGTCACCGGAAAACGCAAAACATCTTCTGGTCCAAGCGATCCATTCATGGACGCGATGGTCTCAAACTTCAACAAATCATCCAAAGTCAAGGATCACTCTTCTCCTCGTAGAGGCCTGACCGAGAACGGAGCGGACACATATCTCTCCGCCGGTAATCCTTGCCTCGACTTCTTCTTCCATGTCGTTCCAAGCTCCTCCAAGAAAGACATTGAGGAGAGACTCATCGCGGCTTGGGACCACGACGCTTTAACCACTCTAAAGCTTATATATGTAACCTTCGTAAAGTCCGAGGTACCGGAAAATCCGACAAGCAAGGGTTTTACACGGCGGCTTTATGGCTCCATGGTTGTCATCCCAAAACCCTCGCTTGTAATCTCGAACCCCTCTCGAAATTTGGTTACTTTAAGGATTTCCCTGAGCTTCTTTACCGCATTCTACAAGGCCATGAGATCCGTGAGACGCAGAAATCGGAAATTGAACTAGAGGAAAAGCCAGAGAATATCTAGAGGAACTAGTGGAAGAGCTCCGATCTCTAATCCTGGTCGTGGAAGCGGTGACGTTCGCCAGAAAAGCCGGAAAAAGAAGCGGACGAGGGAGCTGAGGATAGCGAACGCAGAGAAAAGGAACCAAGTGGAGAAAGAAAAAGCGAGTTTGGATCGATAGAATTGGGGATGAAAGCATTCATTAGATATGCTCATGATCCAGATTACAGATTCCTCCATGAACGAATCTCTGATCTATTCTCTGATCACTTGAGAAGAGACCTCGAGTTTTTGACTTCCAGGGAAACAAAAAAGATCTCTCTAGCGGCTAAGTGGTGTCCGTCGCTTGATTCATGCTTCGACAAAGCCACACTGATCTGCGAGAGCATCGCTAAGAAGCTGTTTCCACGTGAATCGTTTCCGGAATACGTAGGTGTAGAAGAAGCTCATTACGCGTACAGAGTTCGTGATCGGTTAAGGAAAGAGGTTCTTGTTCCTCTCCGTAAAACTCTGCAACTCCCTGAGGTTTACATGGGAGCGAGCGATTGGGATTCTCTTCCTTACAATCGTGTTGCATCAGTAGCGATGAAATCGTACAAGGAGATATTCCTGAAACACGACGAGGAGAGATTTGAGCAATACCTAGAAGATGCTAAATCAGGTAAAACGAAGATCGCCGCGGGAGCTGTGTTACCTCACGAGATCATCGGAGAACTGAACGGCGGAGACGGTGGACAAGTCGCTGAGCTTCAATGGAAACGAATGGTTGATGATCTGAAAAAGAAAGGTTCTTTGACGAATTGCATCGCTATCTCCGACGTGTCGGGATCTATGAAAGGTACTCCGATGGAGGTTTCGGTCGCTCTGGGTTTGCTCGTCTCTGAGTTATCCGAAGACCCATGGAGAGGAAAGCTGATAACTTTCAGCGAAAACCCAAAACTGCATTTGGTGAAAGGAGACGACTTGAGAACGAAAACAGAGTTTGTGAGGAGAATGCAGTGGNGATACAACACGGATTTTAAGAAAGTGTTCGATCTGATTCTGAAAGTTGCGGTGAAAAGGAAACTAAAACCGGAGGAGATGGTCAAGAGGATTTTCGTGTTTAGCGACATGGAGTTCGATGAAGCGTCGGGTGCGCCTTATGACTCGGATTCTGAGGCGGAGGATGGTGGATGGGAAACGGATTATCAGGCGATCGTGAGGAAGTATAGAAAGAAAGGGTACGGTGAAGCTGTGCCGGAGATTGTGTTTTGGAATCTGAGGGCTTCAAAGTCAACGCCGGTGATAGCGAGCCAGAAAGGAGTGGCTTTGGTGAGTGGGTTTTCCAAGAATTTGATAAAGATGTTTTTGGATAATGACGGAGAGATTGATCCGATGATAATCATTGAAGCTGTAATCGCCGGAGAAGAGTACAAGCAGCTTGTTGTGATCGATTGAAAACGCGAAAACACACACTGAATAATATCCAAACCCTCATGGATTTAATGATTTATCATTGTTTTTTTGATTAAATAAAAAGCAAACAAGTTCAATGTTACCTATTATTCATACCGCAAAAGAAGAAACCTTCATCAATAACGAAATGAGCAAAGACCATCGTGCCTAATTGTGGATTGGATATTAAAACATAATGATTTGCGTAAATTGGGCCCATGAATTTGTTTTTTTTTGGTCTTACTAACCAAGACAGTAATAACTCATGGTCTCGTAAAAATTGTAAACAAAGTGGGTAATTGTAAACCAACTAAACCGAGCATATTCTTTTATGCTTTTAACTAATCGATCCCACTCCACTACTAACCAACTACACCATTCTTAATGAACCCAACCCAAAAAATTGTGTGTTAATAAGGTTAAAAGGATTTTTAGAGGGACTCAGAATTTCAGATTGACGACCAAAAAAGAAAGTTAGTAAGAAATGTTATAAGTTATCCTTTATAAAAAAAAAAAAGAAATGCTATAAAATATCGGGAAAAAAAACAAGATAATAAATTGGGCCGAATAGCCTCCATTTCCATGAAAGCAATAATGGGTTTGAAGGTATTTGGAGATATATGTGAGTTGATAAAAAAACAAAAAGGTTTATAATTTGTCTAGTTGAGAGATTAGAGAGTAGAAGAAGGGCAAGTTGGTATATGAAAGGTAGATAAGAGGGGCGAATTGGTCAGCTTTAAAACTACTATATCGACACTAAATCGCCAACACAGGCAAAACGTGAGATAACTCAAATTAATAAATCCTTCAAGGAAAAAAGAGAGAGTACAAAACAAAACAAATAGTTTAGGAATAAAGACGAAGGCGTATTGGTCGAC